TCCTGGGTGGACATGCGGCTGAGCAGGGCACCAGGGGCGGAAGAGGGCCCTGGCTCCCTTCCCATCTGTTCCCAGCTGCCTCGTCTCCAAGGGAGGCGGGAGAGTCTCTGTTGCGAAGGTGCTGGCATGTGCCAGCTCTGGAGTGAGATACAAAAGGGTCTGAATCTGCAATCTAACACTCCAGGGACGGCCCTCAGCAGGTTCCTTAAACTCTCAACTTTGGTTTTCTATTTACCAAATTGACAGTAACATTAGCTTGAAAACCACAGAGCAGGAACTCAATAAATGGTCATTTTGATACTTTGGTTTGGAGCTGACCTATCATTACTTTTCATCACCCTAGGTCAGGCAACACCCCAGCACCCAAGCTAAGAAGGAGGATCTAGGGCTTAGCCCCTGGCAGGTTCAAGCAAGCTGTCCAAGACCCCCACCTCTGAGCCTGCCAGGGCCCCGGGCTGGTTTGGGAGCTGACTTGTGAGAGCCCTGTCTTAGCATTTTCCCAGACCCCCAGCCAGTCCTTCACCCCTTCCTCTGTACGACTCTGTGTCTCCCAGGAGTCAGCGCTGCATGGTACAGGGGTTGTAGCTTTCAAATCTGCAGTCCACACACCTGTAAGGCTGTGTTTAATGTCACAAACAAACACAGGTTTTGCCAAGTCCCTTTTTAAAAAGTCACTTACTAGCACCATATCATCAAAGAAAAATGACTTAACACCAAAGAATGTAGGACAGGATCTCAGAATAAAGGATTGTTTTTAAAACATGAATGACTTTAGCCTTTTGCTCCCAGCTCTCATTCTGCTATAAACCAGGAAAAATCATACACTACCTGGCCCTGCTGGCAGGTGGGATCTCTGGCCAAGAGGAAACAGGCAGGCTCTGGGATCAGCCAGTGCCTACAACTATCAAGATACCTCACGTGTCTAAACCTCACTTTCTCATCCGTGAAATGGGGATAATGATAGAGGTGATCCCAGGGCGTTGTTGCATAGATTAAATTAGCTGCTGCATATAAAGCAGTTAGCATAAGGGCTCAATAAATGATCCGTATTATCTCTAAGCTCTGAAATGCTGCCACCTCAGGCTGGTGTCTCTGCTCATTTCACACAGAGCTCTGGCTCCTTCTCATCTGAGGGCCAACCTTTTCGGCTCTGCCTTCTGAAGTCCTTTCTTCAGACTTTTGCTGGAGTCTCTGACCAGGGGAGAAACCCCGTTCTCCTCCAGGGCCTGCCCCAACAGTCTCTCCATGAGCAACGCAAACAGGATGCCTCCTAAAGCTCAGGACCAAGAATCTGAGCAGTTGGGGCTAGAAAACACAAGAGAATCTCGAAGAGGAGAGGAAAAGGCACAGACACCCGGGCTGCCTGCCCTCTAACGTCCACCATGAGTGCTCACAGCAGGTATCTGATCTGACACTTTTGTCGGTGACAGATGCTGCTCCCTGCATTTCACATGGCTATTTAATGGCCAGCCTAACCCTCTGGGTCCTTATTACTACCCCCGACTTTACCCATGAGCCAACGGAGGCACCAAGAGGGCACATCACTCGTTCAAGTTTGCACAGCTACCAAGTGGCAGAGGTGGGAGCCGCACATAAGACTGTTCCACACTGCATCCTTCCAACAGTGCACCACCCTATCAAATCAATCAATTGATCAGAGATTTAAGGGGCGCTTACCATATGCACAGCACGGTGCCAGAAACTGTAGGTTAAGAGAAATTCACATTTGGCGGCCAAGGATATAAAGAGGTCCCGGGGGACTTTCATCAGAGCATGCAGTTCTCAAGTCAACAGGGTGAAGGGGAAGGGAGAGACCGCAGGCAGGCCCTCCTCACCCCTACCCCACTGCAGAACCAGGACAACCAACACCCAGTTATGCTTGGAGCAGCAGCACAGCCCTATGTGCCCCCCCGACCAGGTACACTGGGCTCTAAGGCTGTGGCATTGAGCACTTGGTTGTGCCCCCCTTCGGGTCTAAGTGAGCAGAGGTAGAAGGTGGAGTTCCATCAAGGTCAAGACGAGGGACCCAGGAGGCTGATTTCTGCCCTGTCTCCCTGTTCGGGACAGATGTGGTTCATCTGGGGTACTGGTGAGTGAGTGTGTGTGCCCTGTGCACACTGCAACAGGAGGGGGCGCCATTCCCATCTACTCACTCAGGCAGGGCTCTCAGTGCACAGGAGGACCCTGGGCCTCTCTCCTTTACCTCTCACTCCCCTCCAAAGTGGTGGCAGGAATGTCAGGCGGAGTTCTGGGGGCGACAGGACAGCCCCTTTCCCTGCCTCCGGAGCCACCCCTCTGCAGGCAGCTCCCACCCCGAGCCGGCCTGTCATCCCACATTGCTCTGATTAGCTATAATCTTTCTTTTTCAATTTCTCCTCCCCGAGACTAGGGAGCGAGAAAATCTCCCAGAAAATGAATAAATATTTCAATTTTCGGCGCAATCAGTCTGAGGAGCCGGCGCATGATGGAAACGGGGGGAAGGATAATGGTTTTCATTTAGATAAGATACAGAAAATTATTTAGTGAAAAATGAAGATTGATGAAGCCCATTGAAATTCTTTAAAACGCGATTTTTATTTCTCCGCCTGAGCTGCAATCTCCCCTCTCCCCTCTGCTCTCTGCTCCCCTCCATTCTCTGGCCTTCCTTCACCTTCCCCCTTCTGCACCACCAGCCCTCAATCCCCTGGCAACACCTTCCCGCTCTGTTTCCTCTCTCCCTGCCCCAGTTCCTGGCCCTGAGGGGGGAAGGCTAAGGAGAAGGGGTCCCGCCAGGCACCCCTAGTGCATGCCCCAGGCTCCCCGACCCCCACGCCCTCCCTCCCTTCTCCTCCCCAGCCCCTGGCCAGCTTCCCCTGAATACCCAGTAGTAATTTCCTTTCCCTCCTGACTTCCCTCCCTTTCTGCCCTTTAGTATCCTCTCCCCCACCACAAACACTTTTGCATAGCGTCCTCAGGTCTTGCTCTCAGCCCACTGGGGAGGACAGGGAGGGGGAGGTTCAGGATTCCCTGTCCTCTTCCTCCTTCCCAAGGGGTGAGAGAGACACACACAATATACACATTTCTTTCTGACCATTCCTGTCTCCGATTCAATGCACATGTCTCTCCTGTTTGCTAACTGCAGCTTTTGTTCCTTAAAGCTCCTTCCTATCCATGTTGCTGACATGCCAGGGCTCCAGGAAAGGGGCAGACAGGAGCTGCCCCCCCTCCACATACCAATATTGACCCAGGGTCCCTCCCCCTCCCACCCGCCCCTTCCCCCACCACAGCAGCCTGACTGAACAGAGTCAAAACTTAAGTCATCTTCCCAACTTTCTGCCAAGTGCCCGGCCTGGCCTGCCAACCCCAGGGCCAGGCCTCCTTCCCCAGCACCCCCTCCCACTCTCAGCTCACACCAGACATGTGTGCCCTTCCCGTGTGTTCAGCGTGTGCAGGAGGGAAAGGCGGAAGAAGACAGGGCCCCAACAACTCAGCCCCGGGGAGGGTTCTGGCTGGGAAACGGGGTGTCCGGCACAGCAGCCCACACCACACACACACACACACACCCACAAACCTAAGAAGGAAAGTGAGCATTGAGCCATGCCTGAGGCTGCCCTCCCCAAGCCCACTGCCCTCTTCCCAGATCCACACCCCCACTCCCCAAAAAGAGACCACCTCCTCCATTTTGTAGTCTATACAGCTCCATAGGTGTCTGGCTGTACCAATGTCTGTTCAAGTTTCTTTGTTTGCTCCAGGGCTGGTATCTGTAGAAGGGCTCCTGCACGCCTCTGTGTGTGTGTGTGTGTGTGTGTGTGTGTGTGCCTGCGCGCGTGTCCTTGTAAAGGCTGCCTGCACACATGTTCCCTGTCTGAGTTTTGGCGCTCTGGGGCAGGATGTGTGTGCCAATCTGGGGAGGAATCCGTGACCCTCGGAGATGTCAGCGCCTTTGTGTCCATGTGTCTGTCTCAGTGTGGGGGATGTCTGCTGGTATGTCTGCGTCTCAGTAGGTGAGCAGTCTGTCTCCCTGTCTGTGACTGTTTTATGGTGTTTCTGTGTCAATTTCTCTGTGTCAGCTTCATGGAGGGAGGGGGTTGAAGGGGGGGGGAGTGAACCCGACAGGATTAAATCTTGCTTAGAGGCAGACCCCAGAGGTAAGAACACACTCCCACAGACCCCATTCCTGCCTGGAGTCTAGACCCTCGGTTTCCTCCCCCTCTTCCCTCCCCCAGCTCAGCCCTGCCCGGGATCCACCAATATCCTCACCTCTCTTAACCATAGCCGTGGCCTCCCAGCCTCTCCCCTGCCACTTCCAAATAAGCCCCCAGACTTCGGCACTTCCCCGACCCCAAGCGGGGTGTCCCCCCCAGTAAGTGCCCCTAACACATCCACTGGGCCTGCCGCTGTATTGGGAACTCCACTCCCCGCCCACAGCCGGCGCGGCCCACGGCTCCCACTCCCCCTCGCCCCAGGCTCGGAGGCCCCCTCCGCTCCCTGCCACCGTAGCTTTCTCTAGAGGGGGCGGCCCCGGCAGCTTGGAGCCGCGGTTCAAAAGCAGGCACCCCGACAGGCTGAACGGGAGGGAGCTAGGGAGACCGATCCTCTGAGCAGCATCTCGGGGGTAGCCCGGGGCCCCGGCTGCCCGCGCACCCCACCCCAAAATCTGAAATCCCACCCTGGCCGGGCGAAACCCTGGCGTCCGGACCCCGGCCACAGGGACTGGGGCTAAGTCGGGCTGCCGGGGGGCTCCGGGAAAGACTTTTCCGTTTTTCGCTCGGACCCCCAGCCCCGGCGGCCCCCAATTCTCCGTTCTCCCGCTCAACCAGAGCAAACAACTTGGATGAATCAACGGAAAACTCCTCCTCGCCGGCCCCGGCGACTCCGCGCCCGGACCCCGTTCCCCCCGCCTCGTGGCGTCTGGAGCCCGGCGGCTGCCCGCGGGCCGCTCCCCGGGCGGCGCCGGGGCGTCCGGGCGCCGGGGGTCGCGGAGAGAGGGGGGCGAGGTGGTGGCGTCTGGGGGCCCTTACCTTGGGAGAAAGTATCGGAGAGAGTGAGGATCCAGACGAGGAGGCTCAGCATGCTGCCCGCCCGCCGCGCGCCCGCCAGCGGCTGGGGCCCGGAGTTGGCGAGCGAGAGAGGAGCGGGCTGGGGAGGAGGGGAGCCCGCGAGCCCGCCCCCCGCCGCCGCGCCCGCCCCTGCACACGCGCCGCGCGCACACGCACACTCCCGCTCGCACAAACTCACTTCCCTTCCCGCGGTTTCCCCCTGGCAGCCTCCTCCCCCCAGCCCCTCGGACGAGTCCTCCTCTCGATCGCGCCCGCTCCCCCGAGCTCCGGCCGCCCGCGCCGCGCGCCCGCCCTCCTCCTGACGTCTGCTCTCTCCCCCCCGACGGCGCCTCCCTCCGCCGCCTCCCCTGCCCCCCAGCGCGCGCGCACACTCGCACCCCTCGCTGGCACCGAGACGCAAGGGCGGCCGAGAGAACGGAATTGAGGGCAAGGCGACGCGGATCAGGAGCGTGACATCGCGGGCTCCGGCGCAGGGGCGGCTGGACCCCTGCCCGCCCGCGCTGCCGCCCGTTTACAGACGCGGTCTCGGTCCCGGGCTGTGGGTTTGTAGCGGAGGGTCGGGGTTGGGGGGACAGGGTCTGAGGATAAGCCTCGTACGCAGAGGATGGCTGTGATGAGGAAGAGTGTGTGTGTGTGTGTGTGTGTGTGTGTGTGTCTGGTAGGCTGCCAGGGAGTTAAAGAGCATACAGATCTCAAAAAAAGAAAAAAAGAAAGAAAGACCAGAAGCTAATTCCTAGATCCCCTCAATGAAGAATTCTCCACTGGCTAGTGAATGTTGGAGGGGGGAGGGGCAGACATTCCTCTCCCGGCCTAAAAACCCCAGAACTAGAGAATCTACTTGGCCTGCCTTGAGCCCCTGCCAGAGACCAGGCTAAATGTTGGAGCCCTCAGCAGCCTGGAGAGGCACAGCTGCCTCCTTCCTTTGTTCCCCCTGGGCCTCTACCCACCCAGAAGGAGAAGCTAGCCAGCACCACGGCCCAGCTTGGAAGGCCAAGGACTGGCCCGGCCTCCCTTCCAAGCCCGTGGGAAGAGCTGGCTGCCCAAAGAAGGTCTCCAAGCAGGAGTCTGAGATACCTTGGGGTGGAGACGGAGGAGCGGCTGAGGGAGGGACTTCCTGGTGGGAGTGATGAGGGGCTGCAGGAAGGGTCCGCTTTCTCTAGGGCCCAGTCTAGCAACCAGCTCCTCTCCCAAGCCCTAAGCAGAAGCCTCTGGTCCCAGCGTTGCTGGCAGTGCTTGGAGGTCTGGACCCTAGGGGATGAACTGAGGGGAAACAACACAAGAGTCACAGCAGTTGCACAACTTTACCGTAATGCCTGCTGGTCTAGAGAGGTCTCCACCTCTTTTCTCCCACATTCTGCATCTCCTGGGTCCCTAACTGCTGCCAGCGAGCATTTCTTCTTCCTTTCAGGCCCTGAGCTCAAAGCGCACGGCTCTCTGGTGCCCTCTGCTGACGTCAGGCGGCCAGGACTCGCCTTTCCTCCCCCGGATCCTGAAACATCCGCGCCAAGTAGAGGGCACAGAAACACAGGCAGGAAAACGCACAAGCTCTTACTCTGAAAGCTGATGCTCACAGTCCGGAGAAGACTTACATAGTTCAAAGCCGCATGTGCACAGGCAAGCACAGTGTAGAAACAAAGAACCGTACTTAGGCCAGAGACCCAGGAATGTAACCAGCACACGCACACACTAGCGCAGAGACATGCAAGGGCTCTTCATGTATTCCTTCATTAAACATGCAAGCCACAGATACTTCCTTAGTGTCTTCTATACTCCAGTCTCAATTCTAAGCTTTGGGGCTACAAGAACGGGTGGTGGGGGAGAAGTCCCTTCTTTTTAGTGTTCCATTCTGGAGGGGAGGGAAAGGCAGAAAAATAAAAGGGGACAGACTTTTGGCTGAGTTATTACGATGCCGCATCCCGTATCTGAGTGCCTGGGTTTGAGTGCCCTTTCTACTTGAGATCCAGCTTCCTGCTAATGCATGCCCTGGGAGGAAGCAGGTGAGGGCTCAATTATGTGGGGTCACTGCCACTCAGGTGGCAGACTCACAGTGAGTTCTGGGTCCCGACATCTGCTTAGCCCAGTTTTGTCTTTTGTGGGCATTTGGGAAGTGAACCAGTGGATTGAAGAGCTCTCTTTGTCTTTGTCTCTCTTCGCCTTTCAAATAAATATTAAAATGATGCATTTTCAAGATTTAGTGTTTATTTGAGAAGCAGAGTTACAGAGCCAGGGGGGAGAGAGAGGGAGAGAAAAAGAGAGAGAGATGTCTAGCATCTGTTTCATTCTGAAAATGGCCACAACAGCTAGGGCTGGTCCAGGTTGAAGCCAAGAGCCAGGAAGTCCATCTGGGTTTCCCTTGTGGATGACAGGGGTCCAAGCACTTGGGCTAGCATCCACTGTTTTCCCAGGCACATTAGCAGGAAGCAGGATCAGAAGCAGAGTAGCCAAGACTCAAACTGGCACTTTGACGTGGGATGCAGGCATCACAAGTGAGCTCCTAACCCACTGTACAACAACACCAGTCTCTGATAAGTAACTTTTTTAAATATATTTATTTATTTATTTATTTGAAAAGCAGAGGCAGAGAGAGAGAGAGAGAGATCTTCCATCTGCTGGTTCACTCCCTAAATGATCACAATGGCTGCAGCTGAAGCCAATCTGAAGCCAGGAGCCATGAGCTTGCTCTGGGTCCCCCATGCAGGTGCAGGGGGCAGGGGCCCAAGGACTTGGGCCATCTTCTTTTTTTTTTTTTTTTTTTTTTGATAGGCAGAGTGGACAGTGAGAGAGACCGAGAGAAAGGTCTTCCTTTGCCATTGGTTCACCCTCCAATGGCCACTGCGGCCGGCACACCGCACTGATCCGATGGCAGGAGCCAGGTACTTATCCTGGTCTCCCATGGGGTGCAGGGCCCAAGCACTTGGGCCATCCTCCACTGCACTCCCGGGCCACAGCAGAGAGCTGGCCTGGAAGAGGGGCAACCGGGACAGAATCTGGCGCCCCGACCGGGACTAGAACCTGGTGTGCCGGCGCCGCAGGCAGAGGATTAGCCTAGTGAGTCGCGGCGCTGGTGGGCCCCATCTTCTAATGCTTTCCCAGGCCATAGCAGAGAGCTGGATCAGAAGTGGAGCAGCCAGTACTCGAACTGGTGCCCATATGGGATACCGGCACTGCAGGCAGTGGCTTTATCCACTATGCCACAGCACCAGACCATACATTTTTTTTTTTTTTTTAAAGAAAAATAGGGCCGGTGCCGCGGCTCAATAGGCTAATCCTCCACCTTGCGGTGCCGGCACACCAGGTTCTATTCCCGGTCGGGGCGCCAGATTCTGTCCCGGTTGCCCCTCTTCCAGGCCAGCTCTCTGCTGTGGCCCGGGAGTGCAGTGGAGGATGGCCCAAGTGCTTGGGCCCTGCACCCCATGGGAGACCAGGAGAAGCACCTGGCTCCTGCCTTCAGATCAGCGCGGTGCGCCGGCCGCAGCGCACTGGCCGCGGTGGCCATTGGAGGGTGAACCAACGGCAAAGGAAGACCTTTCTCTCTGTCTCTCTCTCTCACTGTCCACTCTGCCTGTCAAAAAAATAAATAAATAAAATAAATAAAAAAAGAAAAATAGACAATGCACACGATGTGGTAAATGCTACAAGACACAAATAAAGAAGAGTGGAAGGGAGAGAGCAGAACTTACTCTTAAAAGTAATCAAGGTTAGCTGCCCTACTAAAGTAACGTTTGAGCACAGACCTGAAGGAGGCTAGGGATTTGCTCAGGCATCGAGGGGAAGACTAGCAGGTACCCGGTATAGCAAAGGGAGAGGTCCTGGGATGGGGGAGATCTGTGAGACGGCCTTATCCCATTTCCCTCTGTGTGTAGGTGCATGGACGGGAGGGCCAGAGGATAGTGATTTAGGAAAATGTTAGGAAGAAAAGTCCCTAAGCAAAGAAAGAATATTCTTATCTTATTCTTACATAAGCATATTCTTAGCTTAGTGCTCCTTGCCTGTCTTTCAATTTCTGCTATGCAGGCTTCATAGCTATTCTCAGAGTGAGGAGGAATTGGGTTATCAAAGCTTTTGACTTCCCTTGGGCCTCCTATCTCACCTCCATATCCCAGCAACAGAGGAGCTGAGTGTGCCAGCTCCCTGACAGCCCACGCAGCAATCTCTCTCCTGGTCCCTTAACTTTCCTTCCCCCTCTCCCTGTAATTCCAGATCCTCACCTGCTCAGCCCATGGCAAACTCCTTCTCCAGAATGCGCTCCATGTAACTGCTCGGCATGCCAGATCCCAGATCTCAAGACCCAGCCTCTACCTGGTGTCCTCAACGCCAGCTGTGCATTAGAATCTCCTGACAGGAGGGCTATGGCCTCACCCCCAATGATGAAATGTTTCTGGGTGAAACCCAAGCGGTGTTTTTAAACATACCCCCAGGCAACTCGAATGGGCTCCGAGCTAAGCAAAGCCCAGCTGTCCAGGCATTGCCTGAACACCCCCCGGGGGTGCCCTGGCCTCTTCTCTCAATAAGCACTTCTGCTTCCTGACAATCCTGTGTGGCCTCATTTCCCTGGAGGCAACCCCAAAGGTGCTCCCCCACTTTTCTCCATTCTCATGGCTGCAGGGCTTACTCTCACTGGGTTAACAGAGTCTCCTGGAAAACAGTCACCTAACTCTCATCAAGTGGGGACTGGGAGATCTGCCTCCCCTATCAGACTTGGGGCTCCTTTGGGGCAAAGGCTGTGTATGCCACTCAGGTTGGGGCTCCCTGAGGGCAGAGAAGTAGCTGGGCAAGCTCCTCCCCTTGGAGAGGTGGCAGAATGCTCCAGAGTTAGGCAAGTTGGCACTGGATGAAGACCGAGGGGATCAAGTCCAAGTTCTGCCGCTCGCTTTCTCAGACAGCTTATGTCTTTAATCTCTGATTTTTGGTTTCTTCATCTCCAAGTGTGGATAATAACAGCACTTACCTTATGGGGTGCTTGTGAGGAGCCGGGGAGTGCTTATCTGTACTGCTGCTAGAGCAGGGCTGCACACACACTGGATACTCAGTAAATGCTACCTGTGATTATTTTCAGTTTTGCAGCTCCCCAAAGCAGGGACCTTTGGTATCTTCCTGCTGTGAATCTGTCTTCAGGAAAAGAAGAGCAAGAGAAAATGGAAGGTGGAGCGGAGAGAGCCTTGGCCAGACAGGAGCATGCAGGCGTGGAGGGGCAGGCAGTCATCCCTGAGGACGCTACTTCACCGAGAAAAAAAATGAGAGGCCCAGCCAAAGGTTATATACGGAGTTAAGAGAAATATTAAT